TCCCCCCCCCACGTCAGCGATACAACTAGTGTATCGATGTATCCAATCTATCGGCGCGCGACGCTACCGCCGGCCGCCGCCGCCGCCGCCGCCTCCGCAGCCGTCGCTCCCTCCCACCACCATTTGCTACGGCAAATTGTATCGACGCGTGGCATCCCGAAGCAACAGTTGGCATAACTCCTCCCTCCCCTCGTTCTCGTACGAATTTTCCAATAACCACGAGAGCGGATTAATTCCGTCGATGCGTCTCTTCGGGGTTCTAATTTTCGGCCGCGTGTCACAAATTAGCGACAGCCTTAGAACGGGAGCACGCACAGTCTTGGCGCGTCTTGCGTAACGCACAAGAAGATGGACGAATCAAAGTCCTTTATTTCCTGTCTTTCTATGAAATAAAAAGACTGACTGATTTTTTTTACTTATGCCTTACGTGCATTATGCGTTTGTATACTATAGATGAAGGTCCTGCTCCTTTTACATGCGGACACGAAATGGCTAATACGAGTGCACTTGGAGATCTGACATGAGTCTCGTTGAATCGAGATACTCATCGCAATGACAGCATAAGTATAATATAAACAGGTTCAATCGATTTAAAAAAATGAGTAAAAATTAGATGTATAATAAAATTCTGTTTATTATTTCGAAAATATTAGATAACTCGAGACGTTTCCTCTTCAGTCGTTAATGGAAAGCGAATGTAGTCACAAGAACTTAAAAAATTGACTGTCAAAGTATTAAATCGTACACATCCAACATCCTGTTACAATTACATAAAACTATGAATAAAAAAAGGTAGAAAAAGTTACTGTGGATCGTTCATCGCACTACTTTAGACAAAACGTAATAATAAAGCCTCGCAGATAACGTTGGATCTGTGTAAACTCGTTTTAGCACTTCGAAATATTTTAACGTAGCGGAAACTACGAAGTAGAGAGAGAGAGAGAGACCAGAAGTAATCCGATAAAAGTACGAACACTAGAATAAACAATTTCATAAAGTCATTACTGAAAAATAGCGAATAATGAAAAGAAAGCTGCACGCACAATTTTACGATTTTGTTTTATTCCTTTGCATCAGACTGTTGTATATCTATAGATTTACGTGAGAGAACGTAATTTCTCACATCTATGGTTTCCTCTTAATGTTATGTATTTTCTATATATTACACTTTTAAATAAAGAGAATACATTTTTACAAAAACTGTTCAAAAAACACAAATGGAGAAAATTTTTCTTTTATTTATATAATTCACTGAAGGTTTATAATAGAAAAATAATTTTTACGAGACCGAACAGTTATTATTGTTTTTCATTCCCAAGATTTTTCAAGTTAAAATATACATTCTTGCGAAATTTTCTGTTTTAATATCGCTGGAATTACAGAATCAGATTTTTACGTCAGATTCTGTGATTCCAGCGATATCGAAACAAAAGGTCTCTCGCAGGAATGTATATTTTAATTTGAAAAAGAAAAATCTCGGGAATAAAAGGTACGACGACATTTTCAATAATATGCGACAACAGCAAGACGTTTGCTATTACGATGCGATGATAGAATTTCACGTTAATTGTGAAATTTAGGAGGATTTTCGGGCGGGAGGACACGCGTGCCAATTGTCTAAAAGACTACTAGCCTGATCCTGCAAGGACGACGCGTCACGTGGTTTTGGGTTGGTGGGGATCGTGCTAAAACGCCTACCCCGAAATCTGCTCGCCTAGTACGCGGCTGGTCGTACACTTGAATTCTCGATTGACGAGCTATCGACAGACGATTGGTTCTGGATGGCCCATCACAATCCTGATCAGCGCTAATTATTACGACATTGCACGAGCGACATTTCATTGATCGCCGTTATCAAATTTCCATACGATCCAATTTAGTATTTCCGAAGACGCATCACGTATTCGTATTATTTTTTTTTTTTCTTTCCAGAATGTCCCTCTCTTACAATTATTTGTATTTAATTAAACCTCGCTTTTTCCGAGATAATTTGGAGGGAGAATCGATCGCGAACCTGTTGCTTTGTGTAGCGCAGGCGGTTCGGTTGGTATCAGGGACATATTACGCGCTTCCGTCACGTTCGCGTTTCCGTTTTCTCCGAACCTCCCGTCTTTCGCTCCTACACTCGAGTCTCACGTTCTCCAGGAACACACCTTAGGGGCGACCATAGTCTCCTCATGAACGAGACGCGCACGAAGTGAACGCCAAAAAGCGAGAGACTAACTATATGTATAGTATAATATAAGCGAAATGTAATTTGTACAATAAAACCTTGTCAATAAATAGAATGCAAGATTTACAGTTCTTCGCAAATGTATGCGTTGAACAAAATTACATTCTTTTACGAAAATCACGCATCAAATTTTATTTGCAAATAATTTTATTAGTACAATAGTGACGCTTTGCCTTCCACGAATGTTACGAGGATGGTCAATTATTCAAGATAGAATTCTAATCTCAGACATTTTTATTAAAAGTAGCACAATAGACGTCTCTCTCTCTCTATAAAATAGAATAGATTTCTATTAAAAGTGCAGAAAAGAATAGATTTATATAGATAGAATTCTAATGCAAATTTTTACATCTTTCTCCGTCTATAGTTTATATTTCAATAGAATTCTATATCTATATATAAATTTTCTTTTCTATTCTTTTAATAGAAATCTATTCTATTTTATAAACGTCTATCCTATTTTTTAAGTAAAAATGTCTGAGATTAAAATT